TACCTACCCCATCACTGTGGGTAGAAGTTGGGGCCAGGCAAGACTGTGGCCACCTGAGCCTTCACCAGGGAAGGAAGTGCCATAGCCCCAGTGAGGGGTAGATGAGGACCCCCAGTAACGGTAGGCCCCAGTGAAGGGGTAGAGATGTAGAACCCCATTGAGGGGGTGGAGGTAGAGCCCCAGTGAGGGGGGAACCAGAGGGGTGGGGGGGGTGTATTTGTGTAGAGTTGCCCCAGGAAGGGCCAGGGCAAGCTTGCCCCAGGTCAAGTAATTGGCTGGCCACTACCCCTGTGAGGGTCATGGGAGAGGCCCAAAAGACAGTACGTCTGCTACTCAAGATGTGCGCTAGATAAAGCCTATAGCCTAAGGGGGCCGCTCCAAGAGGTAGCAGGGCAGTATAAAGCTGTTGATGCATGAAAAAGACCCTGTGAGAGGGGGTGGAGTGTGGGACACCCTAGTGAGAGGAGAGTGGTATGAGTATGTGTATGAATGAGGCCTGACAATGAGGGCTAAGCTTGGTCTGGCAATAGGCCGGGAGCATGGTGTCACCTGGATGCCATCTGCAAGGCTTGGGCTGCAGTGTAGGGAAGGATTGGAGCTGCAGAGAGTGCCTCCTTGGCATCGGGACAAGAATGGGCAGCCTCCTGCCTAATTAGAACCAATTATGAAACAGCAAGGTGTGGCAGACAAGTGAGACAGGCAGTTAGCCCAGGGTCAGGTGGGCGGGCCAATGGCGGACTGGCCCCGAGAAGGCCCCCTGTCACAGTGATATTCAGAAAGCAGCTGACTCATGCAATAGCCATGGAATGTATGAAGGCATCAAATGAGCAACTGGTCTAGTCAAAAAGAAAACAACTCCACTAATAAACAAAAACAACTTTAGCGCTGGACTGAACACTATGGAACTATATACTCCAGTGAGACTAAAATCAAAACACAAAGAACTCAGAGAATTACCACAGTTCGAAATTATGATAGATTTAGACAACAAGCCTATATTAGAAGATTGGCAGAAAGTCATTAAATCAATTCCTGGGAACAAGGCATCCAGCAACAACTGTTTGCCTACTGAAATCTACAAATGTGCCAACAACAAATAACTTTGAAAGCTTCATGAAGTTATACTGCTCTCAAGCAGTACCACAAGAATTCAAAGATGCTCGGGTTGAACAATTATAGAAAAACAAAGGGAATAGAAGTGACTGTGACAACTATGCAGGTATCTCTCTGTTGAACATCTTCAGAAAAATTGTCATTTACATCATGCTCCCTAGGCTGCAATCTCTAGGTGAAAGAATCTATCCTGAAAGTCAATGAGATTTTCACTCAGGACACACACCATCGGTATGATATTTTCAGTCAAGCAACTGCAAGAGAAGTGTAGAGAAAAAACAAATAACGCTGTACAGAGCCTGCATTGATCTGAGGAAGGCCTTTGATACAGTCAACAGACAGGGCTTTTTACTGTTCTGTAGAAACAGGCTTGTCTCCCCAAGCTGATGAACAGCATTTGCTCATTACATCAAGGTATGAAGGCAACTATAGTGTGTGAAAACAAAGACTCAAATGCCTTTGACATAAACAATGGGGTGAAATAGAGGTGTGTCTTAGTTCCTATACTTTTTAACATCGACTTTTCATTCCTGTTTCTTCATACATTCAAGGACAGCTATGATGGCATTTATCTTTGAACTAGACTAAATAGAGACTTGTTCAACATTGCAAAGTTTAGAAGGAAAATCAAGGTGAAAGAACTGGTTCTGAGAGATTTCCTGTTTGTGCATGATGTGGCCTTTGTTGCCTACAGTGAATCTTCTCTGCAAAGTCTCTTGGGCAGATTTTATGAATCATGTAAGAGCTTCAGAATGGCAATTAGTCTCAAGAAGACTGTGATCACGTACCAAGGGGTGAAAGAACCAATACCTGACATCACTCTGGAGGATAAATCTCTTGGTGTCATTAGCAGATTTTGCTACTTGGGTTCCAAGATCAGTAGGAATCTTGACCTTCAGACTGAACTGACAAACAGAATCAGTAAAACAGCTAAGAATTTCAGGCTATTACAGAAATGTGCATGGAATAACAGCAAACTATCAGCTAAGGTGAAGATCCAAATCTACGAGCCTTGTGTGCTGTCATCCTACTTTATGGTTAAAAAATGCAGACTACATATGCTAGGCATATCAATAGACTGAACACCTTCCACATGAAATGTTTGGATAAGATCATGAAAATAAAGTGGGATGACAAAATACCGAACACAGAGGTACTGGAGCACACAGGATTGACACTTAGAAACCACTATGAAGAAGAAAAGGTTACAATGGATTGGCCATGTCAAGAGAATAAGAGAAGACTATATCCCCCAAAATATTTAGTATAGTGAGATTTGAGATGGCTCTAGAAAGTGGGGTCACCTTCTATGGCAATACCATGATACATGCAAAAATTACATGAAGTTGTTCTGTATCAATGTAGAAAGCTGGGAGAAGCACGCAGAATCCCATCTCATCTGGAGGGAACAGCTAGCACCGAGTGCAGCTCAACATGAAGTGGCTTTGAGCCAGGATGGAACCAAAACAAGAAAGAAGAAAGCATCATGTGTAAATTTGGACTCCAGCTTAAACAATGTATGGATCTGTGAAGCTTATAACAAGCTGTGTCACTCTCAAATTGGGTTTGTCAGCCACAAACATTCATCAGGCACCTGACTAGTCCTCTCATGTGTATACCATGATCCAGAGGATCAACGGTTGCCTACTAGGAGCATGCAAAACTTCAGTCTGTGATTCGACTCAGAGAAGATTCAGCCTGATTCAGAGGCTGAATCACCAAAACCAAATTAATCGGGAGAAGAAATAAAACCTCTGAATTGATTTGGAGCCTGTGAATTGATTCAGAAAAGATTCAGAGATCCAGAAGGCAGTCTTTCAGGGGAACGGAAACTGAGAAGAGGGAGGGGGAGCAGGTGGGGGGGAGAGACTGACATCTGTAGCTGGCAAGTGACTGTGGTCTTTCCCTGAGTCTCCTTCCAATCACAGTGCTCTTGGGGAGGGACATAGAAACAGCATATAAGCCTCTGTTTGAAGGCTTTCTGTGCCTTTTGTAAGCTGTTTCTGCCTGAGCAACAGCATCTGAAAGGTACTGGACTGGCATGGCTTCCTACCTAGTCAGTCTCCTGCTACTTTCTGGTCTTGGAAAGGATTGGATATAGCTTACTAATTAGAATCCCTCTACTTATCCCTATCCAATCCATTTCTCAATTTATATTTGTTTTTGGGTTTTCCCACCCCACACACTTTTTAAAAAGAAAGCTTTGTTTTCCCTGGCAGTGAAACCCTTACACCTATCTCTGTGAAACTTGGCAGGCCTAATGCCCTCAGAAGGGGCTACCATTAGGACTGTGCAAAATGGCATTGTTCTGTTGCACCTTGAGTTTCGACGGTTCGATGGAATAGTGTTTCGTATCAAATTTCATTTTGAGCTGAAACAGCTATTCTGTTCAGTTCCATTGAAACAGCTGTTTTGACATTTTGCTTGGAATGTGGAGTCAGCCCAACTGGGATGACTTTCCATCCCCAGTGCTAGATTGCACTGGGGGTAGAAGGCAGCCCAGCTGGGCTGCTTTCCCATCCCCTGTGCTAGATAGCCCCCAGCACAATCTAGCACGGGGAATGAGAAAGCAGCCCAGCTGGGCTGCCTCCAGCTCCTGGTGCAATCTAGCATCGGGGAACAAGAAAGCAGCCCAGCTAGGCTGCCTTCCACCTCAGGCGCGATCTAACATGGGGGATGGGAAAGCAGCCCAGCTGGGCTGCCTTGCTACCCCAGTGCGATCCAGTGTGATACGACTTTCGAAGCATTTCAACCAGCCTCACTTTGTTTTGAGCCTATTTCAATGGCCTTTGTTTCATTCTGCTTTTGCTGTTTTGACCTCAAAATTGGTCAAAACAGTGTTGAAATGAAATGGCCGGCGAAATTTCACACAGCCCTAGCTACCATCCCTGCTGTTTTCATCCAAATCTGCCTTAACATATACACGACACGATTTTAGCTTTCAGCAGTTTGAGGTGCCGTTTCCCACAATCCACTGCACCTATCTATCTCCTTGAAACTTGGCAAGCCTCATGCCCTTAGAAGGGACTACCATCACTGCAATTTTTATCTGAATCAGCCAAAAATGACAAAGATATAGGTATTTCAGTGATTCCCTATTATAGTCTATGGCCAAATCTCCCCAAACTCGTGCTGAATCTTCCGAAGCCGACTCAGCTGAATTGATTCAGGACAGTGATCCCAGTTTCCGAATCGAATCACTGTCCTCCGAATCAAATACTTCCCTATTCGCACAGGCCTATTGCCCACTAGATAACTCTGTATATTCTTATTGTCCATATAATACATCCAGACCTTCACTGAACCTAAGTTCTTGGTTCCAGCAACGTGCTGGATCAATGACTTCCACAGTTTTAATTTCATGCCATATGAAGACATATTTGCTTTTATTGATTCTGAGTTTTTCATGTTTAAATTTTGTTGAGCTTCTTCCATAGGTTATGAGACATGGAGAATAGATACCACCAAACTACTTCTGTTTATTATTTAATAGATACTTGTATCATTTTTGTATATCAGTATATACATGAAGCAGTGTCATTGATTAATATAATGACATTATAAAGTTTCCATAATATTTCCAGTCCACTCTTTACACATGCTACCATCTTATTTGTATTGGTGACTACAGTCACTGAGGAAACATCTTAACTGAGCTTTCTAGGCTGATGCCCAGGGCCCTCTCCTGAGTTGCTATAGTTAATTTTGCACCCCTGGGAAGTGGAGAAGTAAAGTACATCTTTGCACTCTGATATACATAATCACTCCTCATTTACACTGGCAGGGGTGAGAGGAGAATAAGGGTTTTGGTAGGCAAAGACAGATGGGCAAATCATAACAGGAAGTACCAAAGCATCACCTGAGAAAGCCTAGCTACATCACCTTACCTGATGATCAGGAGGGACCATAGACTCGTCTTTGCTGATCTTTCCACACAGCGCCATTCAAACTCATCCTCTCCTGAGGCCTCCAAAGATCAATGGTGCCCCTGTAACAGAAGGTGAGGAGGTTATTTGGTTTAATGGGAAGAAAAATTTAGAGGTTAATGGTGTGGCTAAATCACATCATGGCTTCACAAACTTCACTGACTGCCTTGCTAGACCTATCCAATCATGTTGCCCTATTCCCTGCACAGGCCATTATACTGGTTAATCACTCATTAGCCTTGTCCTTGAACAGTATTTTACCCAGGCCTCATGCTGCACATTCTTAACTCCAACCATGTAAGCAGTAACTGTCTAGCCAAGAGGCTACTCATATATTTAAAATTAAAACATTCATTTCAGTGCTTTGTTGAATTGAAGCCATAAGCCCAACTCTTCTGGATTGTTATAACAAAAATAATATTCCTAGCACTGGACCCCACTCATCTTCTTTCAAGAGTTTAAGCATGTACAGAAGCCATTCATCATTGTGCTGTATCTTAAGCCTTAGGAATGAGTCTGTGTGGAGATACTTTCACTTGCTGAAGGATCAGTTGGAGACACTCTAGAAATGTGCTATTTTCCGCATTGAATTTCTAGACATAATATCAGAGCACATAGGGGAAGAGAACAGTGGAAGAACCCTCTGTTATCCTGAATCTGACTGTGGCTAATAGGAGATGCTTCAGTGTATGGGTAAAACCCCCATAATATACCTACTTAGAAACACTATGCCTTAGAGTTATATTTATTCCTAATCCCAGCTCATGGCCAGTTTTCACCTTGATGCATGACAGCAGTTATTTTCATTTCACTCTAGCGGGTATAACGACAGATGTTAATATAAATTTGTATAAAAACCTAATAGCTTATTACAAATCATACAAGACTATTTGGCTGTATACTCTCAAAACCTTCAATCATGAGTTCCACAAGTAAATCATAAGAAGAGTAAAAAATCTATTTTCATACATTTATTGCAACTTAATTTGTTTTTATATTATGGATACAAACTAACAGGAACATCTGAGTAGCTGACACACTGTACATTCGTTACTTCATACAGTTCTATCACAGCTTTCCTTCCTCTGCTTTTGCTACATAGGTATTCTGGGCTTTGGATCTTTTCTTTTTTCTCTCCAGAATCTATATTCATTACATCCCATTTCAAAGTTCTTCTCCAGCTACTGGCTATATGTACTAGAGTGCCTCAATGTTTTGACTATGGTAGTATTTCCCCATAGCCTCATAAAGTACAGGCAGTTTTCACTGCATACAGTCTATTAAAAACAGGGATGGAACATACATATCGGGTAAAGGATGGACTGAAAACATTTACTTCAAATTCAAAACAAAAGGAATTTTAGGTGTTCCCAAGAGTTTGGCTACCTTTACTTTTCAGTTAGGCATGCCTTTGCTCAGTCACAGGCACCTGAGAGAGTCTGTTCTGGAAAGATTTCTAATCTAAAGAAGTTTGGATAACCTAAGATAGGGTGGCCAACCTGCAGCACAGGTGCCACAAGTGGCACAGGCAGACGCTGTGTGTGGCATGCAACAGATCAGGGAAGGGACAGGCAACACAGTGGTAGATGGGGCAGGGAACAGAAAGCAGAGCAGCAGATTGGGCAGGGGAAGGCGATTGGAATAGCAGTAGGGGGGGGATGGAGCAATAAATTTGTGGCATGCCTGCTGAAATGTGTGGCCCCCGCTGAGCTAAGGTAACAAACATTTAGTTATGCTCATGCAAACAATGCTGTAAAAACATGAGGAAGTACCTTCTCTCCTCTTATTTTAAGAACACGAAGATTCATACCAGCATTACAGGCTTCATCCATTCATCACACAAAAGAAAAGATGATCTTTCATCAGGTTGTTTCCCTTAACTGCTCATAGATATGAAAAAAATACTCATGTTCACACTGAAGAAACAGCTGGTGAACAGTAGACACCAATACCATTAGAAAGCCTCGTCTTTCTTGATACGTCAGCCCATGGGCTATGAATATCTCAGGCATTCATTTTATGAAATCCTTTGTAGTGTCTTTTATACAGAAGCAGCTTCTATACACTGAAACGGGAAGCATAAGAACCGGGTTTCATTCCTAGATTTACCACAGACTTGTGCTTATGGGTGAAGTCACATTATTACTTGGTTCCTCAGTTTCCCCAACAGTACTATGGAACTAATCCCACATACCCATGGATATTCTAGGATGAAAGATAGCATTCTAGGGAGTATGTCTGAAATTTTAGTAAAATAATTTCAAAATAATAGCCTACCCTCATCAACAAGAAGGAAGTTCCCCTCGTCACAAAAAACTCAAACCTCAGTGCAAAAAGCTTTAGTTGAACTCTATAGAAAATAGTTAATTAATATCTCTTGCTGCGGCCTAATTCTCTTTTCAACATGTGGCTGTCACTTCCCTGTCATCACAGCTGATTTACAATGGGGTTTAATTAAATCCTCCGTACATTATTCAGCATTCTCTGAAGACAACACCAAAGCGGCCAAGGGTATTTAGAATGTCACCTGCTGAGATGTATCATCTCCTCCTAAATAAATATGACAGTGATCAAACTTTGGCTAATTACAGTGACTTCGTTATTTGTTTGTATGTTTTAATATTTAATTGCTTTCATGTTCATCCAATTACAAAGCAACAGCAAATAGAAATTAACTTTTTATCAGCGTGTTTCCAGCCCAGCTAATCAGCACTTCAAAGGCCAGACACAATAGGAGGCCATCCAACCTGAGAGAGCTTTACAATATATTCTCTGTTGAATGGACCCTTCTATTAAATTAAGGGAGAATTGTGTTCTTTAATGTATTCCCAGCTCCCACCCAGACTCCCTTTATGTGGCCTTTTATGGACCTGGTTGTACTATCTTTGCAATAGGATAGTAAATTGTTTGTATTGTTCCTGTGTTCATTCATATAGTGAATTTAACTGCAGGCTGGCACTTCACAACTGCCCAAAGGTAACTACACTTTACTCTGCATCAGCACAAAAACACCCTTTCTTTTGGCAATTTATCTTTTGTAATCCAATAGTGTTTAAGAGCCCAAGCCAAGAATGAAGCTCCATTGTGCTAGGCACTGTACATGCACACCTGGGAAAGTCATTAATCTAAACAGACAAGTATATTATCTTTATTTTCAGTGGATGATAAAAGCGGAGAGAGAGATCAAGTAATATGCTCAATGTCATAAAAGATGTCTATCGCAGAACTAAGAAATGAACCTAGATCTCCTGAGTCCCAATCTTCAGCCTCAATTAGGCAGGAACTATTCTTTTTCTTGTTTGCATATAATGTATATGCAGTTATGATTACAAAACTATTCTAGTAATACTTTCTCTTCTTTCACTTCTTCAGAGCTTGCTAGAAAAACAGAAAGACAGAAACCTCCATTAAAAAAAATGTCCATGCTTTATTGAAGATGAAAGGTAATTTTTTTTGTATTACTGTCTAAGGTCCATGGCAGACATTACACTTAACATGTCATTTTTACACAAAAAAGTAAAATATTTTTGTGGCTCCTTTGCCTAACATTCAATTTAAGGCATGATGGAGAGTCAGGACTGCACTGGGGCCTAAACTGGCCCTGCTGGCTAACATTCACCTAACTGTGAGGCACCCGACTTTCAACTTCCTGGTGCAGGGGAAGCCCATGATTAGCACTGGCTAATAGGGTGGATTGGGATCTGATCCTCAATCCCAAAATTGTGCATTTTTCTACGCACACGTGGCACGGCAGGTAGATCATGCCTGACAAATCTGGTTTCATTTTATGACAGGGTCACAAAATGCTTAGACGCAGGAGTAGAGGCAGATGTCATTTTCTTGAATACGGTATCTCATCCCATTCTCATAAATAAATTGAGAGACTGTAACATAGATGTTTACATGGTCCGGTGGGTGGCAAATTGGCTTAGTGATCACACCCAGAGGGTGGTAGTAGACGGGTTGGTATTGACCTGCAAGGATGTGGGTAGTGGGGTCTTGCAGGGTTCAGTCCTTGGACCTGTACTCTTCAGTATCTTCATCAGTGACTTGGATGTGGGTGTGAAGTGTACTCTGTCCAAGTTTGCAGATGATACTAAATTGTGGGGTGAAGTGCACACTCTGAAGAGTAGGGAACGATTGCAGGCAGACCTGGACAGGTTAGAAAAATGGGGAGTACACAACAGGATGCAGTACAACAAGGACAAGTGCAGAGTGCTACACCTAGGGCGCAAAAATACCCAGCATACCTACTGCCTGGGAAGTGACCCTCTCAGCAGCACAGAAGTGGAAAGGGATCTTGGAGTCATAGCAGATTCCAAAATGAACGCGAGTCATCAGTGTGACGACATCATCAGCAAAGCTAACCGCACTTTATCATGCACTGAGCCAAGGAGGTGGTACTTCCCTTCTGTGTGGCATTGGTCAGACCACAGTTGGAGTACTGCGTCCAGTTTTATGCACTGTACTTCAAGAACAATGTTGATAGACTCAAGAGGATCCAGAGGAGGCCACTCATGGTTAGGGGCTTACAGGATAAGCTCTATAAGGAGAGACTGAGGGACCTGGACCTCTTCAGCCTCCTCAAGAGAAGACTGAGAGGCGATCTTGTGGCTGCCTACAAATTCTTTAGGGGGACACAGCAAGGGATCGGAGATGCTCTGTTCACCAGGGCACCTCTTGGGGTAACAAGGAACAATGGTCACAAACTGACAGGGCAGATTTAGGCTAGATATCAGGAAAAACTTCTTCATGGTAAGGGTGGCCAAAATTTGGAATGGGCTTTTAAGGGAGGTGGTGCTCTCCCCTACCTTGGGGGTCTTTAAGAGAAGGCTGGGTAGGCATCTGATTGGGGTCAGCTGACCCCAGCACTCTTTCCTGCCTAGGCAGGGGGTCGGACTCGATCTGTTGAGGTCCCTTCTTACCCCAGAATCTATGAATCTAGGAGGCATTGTGCCTTTATGTAGGGTTGTGCGAAGTTTCAGTCTCTGATTCAATTCAGCAGAGAGATTCAGACTGATTTGGTGGCTGAATCTACAAAACCAAATTGAATCAGAGGACC